ACTCATCGTCTCAAAAATTTCCATCATCTCCTCCGCCGTGCGAGCGCCAATGTCACCACCGGCGGCATTATCCACCATGAATTGTAAGTTTCGGTCGAGGGAATCGTAAAATCTGCTCACCAATAAGCCGGGTGGGAGATTATGATGTGGGCACTGTCTTTGAAGGTCTTTGAATCGCTCCCACGTCTCATGGAATGGCTCATTGGGATGTTGGGTGAAGGATACGATTTGACCCCTTAGTTCCTGAGTCTTTTGATGGGAATAATATTTCCCGATAAACTTGGAATACACTTGCTCCCAAGTAGTGAGTGAGTCGGGAGCAAGATTCATAAACCAATCCTTTGCCCGGTCCTTTAATGTGTGCGGGAAACACCTCATCTTTAGTTGGTCCTCGTTTAACCCTTGAAGAGGAAAGGTTTGGAGGACATTATAGAACTCCCGGATGAAATGGAGAGAATCTTCGTTTGGCAAGCCATAGAAGGATGGGAGCTGGTTGTAGTGGATTGTTTTTATCTCGTAATTCCTAGCCGCTGGCCCCAACCAGATGCAAGAAGTAACCGGTCCAATCATTGGCTGGGCCATGTCCCGAAGAAGGGATCGTGGAGGATTATTTTCCCCCTGTTGTTTGTGGTTCACCATACTCGCCGGCTTGTTGGATGCTAAGGATTCTGGTGCAAGGTTAACCAACAAGTTGCTTGGTTCCTTGTGGATGGGTTCGTTTCTAGAAGTAAAAACTCGTCCACTCCTAGTTCGCATAAACAAAGATAAGCAAACAGTTACGAGCACTAGATAAACAAGAGTAAGTAATTGACAACCTCGAAAATTACCAACTAACAAGAAAATAGAAGTATTCAAAGACAAGAAATCACAAAGAGAAACAAGAGAAATTAAGTGAAAAACGAAAACAAGAAATCACGAAAGATTGAGATGAAATAAAAACGACTAATTGAATAGGCGCATAAGTCAAGTCCTAAAACCTTCCCCGACAACGGCGCCAAATTTGTTGTAGCAAATTTTATTTATATATTTTCCAAGTCCGGAATCAAGATCCGTTTCCCGGGTCGATCACAAGGAAAGTTTAGCCGGATTAAATTATGTGTTTAGTCAATTACAGAAAATAATAGAATAAAATCCTAAACATTCTAATCAATATCAAGTTTTTGTTCGATTATGAATTTAGATTTACTAATGAATAATATAAAGAAAGATAAATTTATAAAAAGATTTTATATAAGAGTTAGGATTTCGGGAAATAATTGTATTCGATTCTAATAATAATTTAAATTATTAATTGTTCGATTAAGTGGTTCGATTAACATATTAGTTTAGAGGTTTATATTCAATAACTTTTCGTAACATGAATATAAACATAAATTAGTATATTTTCGTACCAAATAATACATAAGCAATACATTTACGAACATGCTTACTCGTTTCGAGCCGAGATCGACTAACTTCGCCCCTCTCGGTTTTGAAATTAATTAATTTGATTTAGAAGATGTTTAATCAACTAAACCATAAAAAATAAATATAACTCGAAACGATATGAACAATTAATAAAATGTTATCATCATCAAATCGAAACAATCATTTCCCTATTCCTAACGGAATAAGTTAGTTCATCGTGATTTTATCGAGACAATCAACAATAATAACCCAAGCTATCATCATACTTACGAATAAGTAACGATAACTTACGATTATTATTGAAAACTTGACGTCAATATATCACTAGAACTTCAACAATGTAACACTCAAAAGATAAAAAATATAAATGAAGAACTTTCCACTTGAAGAACATTTACAATTTTTTACAACTATTATACATTCATGAAATTGATGATCTTACCCTGTATGAATCACCTCTATTTATAGCCAAGAATTTGGACTAAAATATTGCTGGAAATCAGCTATAGTTAAGCTTTAATCATCACCAATTTAATACTCCACCACCATGCATTATTGAAAGATTACAGCTGCAGAATTTTCCCTAGTAGCGCCGCTACTAAGGTAGTAGCGCCGCTACTAGTACCTTAACGTCGCTAAGGATAGTAGCGCCGCTACTATGTCGGTTCCATTGCATGTTGATACGGTTTTCGCTCGTTCGGGCTCGTTTGGACTCAAAATTTAGTTCCATTTTTTTCTGTGCGTAGCTAACGAATCCCTCTATCAAATGATGTGATCATACCTTAACAAATTCCAAAATCTTGTTCTTCCGATGTTTTCAACCTATACATCTTTATTAAAAATAAAACGAAAAATACCAAAAAAAAAATACAAAAACTTACACATTATTTGGAATATTACAAATTACAAAATAAATAATAAAACTATCCTAAAAACAATAAAATAGCTTAAAATGAGAAAAAAATAATAATAAAATGAGGACTAAAAACTTAACAAAAACAAGACAAACACATCACCGTGTAGAGTACGCATTTTCTTATTTTATTTTCTCTTTCTTTCTTTGTTTTTTGTGTGTCTTCGTGAGTGTTTTTGTTTCGTTGCTTTGATTTTTGTGTCTCGTTTTTGTTTTTATCGCATGAACTTACATGATTATGTGATTTCTCCTATGTTTTTTGGTCAAGCAATGAGGATATTGCTTTGTTTTAAGTGTGGGGGATGGATTTTCGTGATTATGCATGTTTAGGTGATATTCTCATCGTTTTTGGTGCTTTATTTTTGTTTTTGACGTGTCTTGGACCGGTGTTGAGTTTTTGTGTGTTTGTGTATCCTCTCCCCCATGAAGCTTGATGTTTGTTCGAGAGTCGGAATAGCTAAGTGGTGAGTCGAGATCGTTGTTTGGTTTCACTATTAGCGTTTGTGCTTTATGTACTCGATGAATTGGATGGTTTCCTTAAAGTTAAATGATGATTCGTTGACATTGGAACCCGCATGTGGATTCACGGAATTGTTTTGTCCCTTGTTTATTCTTGATTGATTGTCTTGAGGCATGCTTTCCTTATGTTCAATTATCGTTGTAAACATGTTATCTATGCACTTGTGGTACGTCTTGATGATTATGGATGTTCATGTTATTGTATTCTCGTGTGCATCTCCCTTCGAAAAAAAAATTGGAATAACATGTAAGTTCGCGAGGAAGTACGAATTAGGCTCCTCTTATTCCGAGCCACTTCGTAGAATGGGATAATGAGCCCGGGAAACCGGTTTAGGAAACTCGGGGAAACCCCTCGAGGTTAAACCTAGATCATCTTGTCCGGAAACCTAGTTTGGAAAGAGAAGCTCACGAAATGAGTTCGTGAGAGTTGAAAGGATTAGGCAACTCTTGGCTCGGTTAATCTTCTAGATAGATTGGGTCAATGAGCACGGGAAACCAGCCTAAACGACTCGGGGACAAAACTCGAGGTTAAACCTAGGTAATAATCGTCCTAACGGCTCTCATTTGGAAAAAAGTGCCTCATTAATTAAAAAAAAAAAAGAGAGAGAAAAAGAAGAAAATTGGGGAGTTGGCTTATTGGTCTCATGCTTATCATTTCATGTTTTCTAGACCATTTATGGTTTTTTCACGGATATGTAAATGAGGAGGTCTGACTCGAGTAATCATGTGTGGAATGACATGGGAGGAGATTGGATTTTGAATTTAGAGATAACCGGATGATAATGGGAGTTTCATTTTGCATGCTCGTTAATTTTGGGCTTCTCGATTTTTCTTTTCGAGCTACTTGTTGTTTTGTTTGCTTGAGGACAAGCAAAGAGTTAAGTGTGGGGAAGTTGTTTGTTATGTTTTTGTGCTTATTTTTATGTGTTTATATGTGTGTTTGAGTAGATTTTAGGTTCGTTTTAGTGTCAACCGGTCCATTTTGTCGTTTTTCGTGTGTTTTTGTGTCTTTTGTATTATTTTATATTTTTGCGTACTTTTTCGTGCTTTTGCTATATTTTCAGGATTATCCCGGGGATGAAGAGTCGAGTCAAGCCGAATTCCGAGAGACGAGCTTTCTGAGTTATTTCCGAGCGATTTCGAGCCATTTCGTTCGAGCCATTTCCAACGGAGCATGTCAAGTCCTTAGCCGAGCCCGAACGTTCCTTGAGCTGCCCACTCGCGACCCCGCGCCGAGAGTCGCGACCTCGCGGACGCAATAAGCCATCGCCAGGACACGCCCGTTTGCATACAGCTGCAGCCGCGAGCTTGAGAGTGCTAGCCTACCGCACGCCTGCGTGCTCGCGAAACTCCAGGCGAACTCGAGAGTGCCGCAACACCTGCCCAGCACTCACTCGCGCGTCTGCGGAGCCGACGGTGTAACGCCCCATTTTTATTAGATGAAAATCAGAATAAATTTTTTTTTTCAAAATTTATTTCAAAATACTTGAGGCGCTACTCATTACCAAAACAATTTCCAATCATCTCATAAATGAATCTCCCTAACGGGTTCAATAATCAAGTCAACACGCAAACCGAGTTCATCAATAACACCAACTCCCAAAACTGGGTTCCTCAAATTCATAAATACTAGGGAGTACAATCCCTATTAATCATCCAGTTCTCAACACAAATCAGAAGTTCATAAATAATACTAAGCGGTCTCAAGCAGCGGAAATAAAAACAGTAATATGACCACCACTCGCCTCCCTCTGTCGTGCCAGCAACCTTAACCTACATCCATGAAGAGCAGGTGGGGATGAGCACAAAAGGAAACAATAGTGCTCACCGCTATGCTATAAATGTTAATCTCAATAATAAACAATGATCAATAATCAAAAGGTATAGTCTCAGCATGTATACGAAACAATAAACCATCACATTCTCTCATTAATAATAACAATAATCAGACTAATGTGCACACTTATATCAATAGACTATTGCTGGTAGACGTATCGAATGCCCCATGGGCTTTTATCGCATGCCCCTCGGGCTTCTACACCGAATGCCCCTCGGGCTTCTACACCGAATGCCCCTCGGGCTTCTACACCGAATGCCCCTCGGGCTTCTATCGATGCCAGCAATAGGACTAAACCCCACGGGTTTTGCTTTACAATTACGGGAATAACCGTTCGACGGCCGCTACAGCTCACATCGAAGACTACGTATTTCACATACATACATTGATCATACCAAAAGCAGTCATTTATAACATTTAAAGCATAGCAATTTTCAAATAAAACCCACCTGGCATCCGGAGAAATAAGAAGATAGCACAAATAAACTGGTAGAATGAGGGCACGACTCGTCAAACACCTGCATTCATGAACAATAGTCCTATCAACAATTATTCCGACACTTAAAGCCATTTACAATATAACCTTATAAATCCTCTAGAAATCACCTGAACATGAAAATAATAACAAATAGGACTCAGCCACTTCAACATCAAATAAGTCGAAATAATATAACATAAACTTAAAATAGATCTAAACATGCCAAAGTAGAATTTTTGGAGATTAGTGAACTTGGCACAACATAGAATTAACCGAATTCACAAAAATAAAATATAATCCACTAACAACTTTGGTGACATTATCACAGACCAATTATTCACACACATTGCATGTATATATATATTACATATTGACTACCACGATAATGGCATGTAAAAGAAAGGATCCCAAATATAGTCACTTTTGTCAAATAAAGTAAAACATAAAAGAAACAAGAGAAATGGGATAAGGAGGCAACTCATAGCATCTGTCTCCAAAATATTGTGTTGATATAGAAATTTAGAAACTGAGTAAAATTAGCTTCCCAACAACTCGTTGTTTTCTTATTTCCAAAATGCCATGTACCTC